ACCGCCAGGAGTAATTCCTGAGTGAAGAGCCAGGAGTAATCCCTGAGTATCACTGGGTGAGACCCAAAAAGAAAATAAAAATGTACTCCAGGCTGTTGGTGTGAGGGGTGGGGATGAGGGGGGCACCCAGTGATGCTCAGGGCTTGCTCCTGGCTTTGCAGTCAGGGATCGCTCCTGGGGGAACTCCGGGGAACCAACTGGGTTGCTGGGATAGAATCTGGGTTAGCCTGTTGCAAGACAAATACCTTACCTGCTGTACTATCTCTCGAGTGCCCCCTTCAGGATTTAAAAATAAATTATAATCTAAATCAGCTTGCTGCCCTTGGATGAAGGCTACTGGGGAGGACTTCCAAAGTTATTCAGAGCTTTGCATTGATCCAGGAAAGGGTTATTGTCCTTGAAAATACCCCCCCTCCCCTCCTTGTTTCTTTTCCCATCTCCCTGCCTGCAAAATACTATAGTCAAGATCCAAACAAATGCGATCTGTTGCCCATCACTGTATCACTGTCATCCCATTGTTCATCGATTTACTCGAGCGGGCACCAGTAACATCCCCATTCATCCCAGAGATTTTAACAGCCTCTCCTTGCTCGTCTTTCCCAATGATTGTAGACTCTCAGGGTCAGGGGAATGAAACCCATTATTGTTACTGTTTTTGGCATATTGAATATGCCACGGCTAGATCACCAGGCTCTGCTGTGCGGGTGGGATACTCTTGTTAGCTTGCTGGGCTCTCCGAGAGGCGCATATATATATATATATATATATATATATATATATATATTAGCCACTGCCACTGTCCTCCCTTTGTTCATCGATTTGCTTGAATGGGCCCAATAACATCTCCATTGTGAGACTTGTTGCTACTGTGTTTGGCATATCGAATACGTCACAGGTAGCTTGCCAGGCTTTGCCGTGTGGGTGAAATACTCTCGGAAGCTTGCCGGGCTCTCTGAGATGGGTGGAGGAATCGAACCCAGCTCGGCCGAGCCAGTTGGGCCGGCAGCTTGCAAGGCAAACGCCCAACCGCTGTGCTATCGCTCCAGCATATATATATATATATATATATATATATATATATTTCTCTCTATGATTTGTTGCCTACTGTCTGAACCCCATCAAATATGGTGTGGTAATTATGGAGAATGGGTAGGGAGTGTCTTACGATGTGTCGGTCCAGGAACATGTTCACTCATACGTGAGGCTCGGCCCGAGTGTGTGGGAAGCAGCCTGGAGCATGGCGGCGGTTGGGTAGTGGAGGTCGGCTGCTGGGGCTGGGTCCCTTGGGACAGGGAGGGCTCTCACCCAAGCCCCTCTGGGGCGCCCCCAGTGAAAATAGCCTGGCGTGGAGTCCGGTGGCTTGGTTATGCCCATGTCTCAGATGAAGGCTGAGAAGTGGAGACAGAGAGGAGCTGGTGGATGGGTTTGCTGGCGCAGACAGAGTGGAAAGCTTCAAGGCTTCAAGGCTTGAATCACCCAGTGGATGGCGGAGCTCCTATTCCTGAATTTTTTTTTTTTTTGCCACACCAAACGATGCTCAGGGGTTACTTCTGGCTCTGCACTCAGGAATCACTCCTGGCAGTGCTCAGGGCACCATAATGGGTGCTGGGCAAGTGCCCTGCCCACTATACTATTGCTCTGATCCCTGTGGGTTACAATTTCGTTTCTGGTTTTTGGGCCATACCAGGCATTGCTTCGGGGTTACTCCTGGCAGGTGGATGGACCTTATGGGTCTACCACGTGCAAGGTAAACCTTCTCCCCACTGTGCACCTTGCCCCTCTTGTTTACATTTTTTTTCTTTTTGGGTCACACCCGGCGATGCACAGGGGTTACTCCTGGTTCATGCACTCAGGAATTACTCCTGGCGGTGCTTAGGGGACCACATGGGATGCTGGGAATCGAACCCGGGTTGGCCACGTGCAAGGCAAACGCCCAACCCACCGTGCTATTGCTCCAGCCCCTCTGGTTTACATTTTAAGAAAATATTTTATGAGGCTAGGGAGGGTAGAACTCTTACTTGTACATGGATAATCAGGGTTCAATCCCCAGCATCCCTTATGGTCCCTCGAGTCTGCCAGGAATGATGCATAGAACCATGAATAAGCCCTGAACACGGTTGTGTGTGTGGCCACCAAACCAAAAGATAATTTTGGGGTCACTTCTAGTGTTGCTTGGGGGAGGAGATTGCTCCCACCAGTGCTCAGGGGGACACACGGTGCTGAGGACAGAACCTGGCCTCCCACATGAAAAGCAGAAGGGTGCTTGTAGTGTTTAAGAATTGTCTGTTCAGAGGCTGGAGCAATAGCACAGCAGGGAGGGTGTTTGCCATGCACGTGGCTGACCCAGGTTCAATCACCGACATCTCCTATGGTCCCCGAGCACCACTAGGAGTAATTCCTGAGCACAGAGTCAGGACTCACCCCTGAGCATTGCTGGGTGTGACCTAAACAAAAAATTCTGTGCTCAGCCAAGGTGACTTTCTGTTGGTTTCTTCTATTTTACAGTGAACGTGAACTCAATTAACTTTTGAGTTGGGGATTTTATTGACTCATTTAGGATATAAAGGTGCTGGGTGGTTCCCTTTTATTGGCAGTAAAGATGCTTTTTTTTTTTTTTTTTTTTTGCTTTTTGGGTCATACCCGGCGATTCTCAAAGGTTTTGCACTCAGGAATTACTCCTGGCACTGCTCAGGGGACCATATAGACTGCTGGGAATCGAACCTGGGTCGGCCGCATGCAAGGCAAACGCCCTACCCGTTGTGCTATCGCTCCAGCTCCAGATGATGCACTTTTGCCTTTTACTTTGGGGGCACACACAGCAGTACTAGGGGGTTACTTTCAGCTCAGTCTTTGGGGCATTTTGGGTGGTGCCTGGGGGAATCTGTCCCCGCCAGCATGTGCTCCAGTCCAGGAGAGCGACCCACTTCCTGTCTCCCGCCTGTTTATTTCATTCCCTGTTTATTTCATTCCTGAGTTGCTGGCGGGGGTCCCCAGAGACCTTCCTAAGGATGACGTTATGGAGTATCTCGCCTATTTCTTCCCACACACCTCCAGTGCACATGTAGTCTTTTTTTCTTTTTTTTCTTTTTGGGTCACACCCAGTGATGCACAGGGGTTACTCCTGGTTCTGCACTCAGAAATTATTCCTGGCGGTGCTTGGGAGACCATATGGGATGCTGGGAATCGAATCTGGGTCGGCCGCGTGCAAGGCAAATGCCCTCCCACTGTACTATCGCTCCAGCCCCATGTAGTTTTGACTCTTACATCTGATTTTTGCTGTTGTTTTTGGTGGTGGGGGGGGGGGAGGGTGGTGATCACACCTGGCAGTGCTCAGGGGCTATTCCTGGCTCTGTGCTCAGGCGTGATCCCTGGTGGTGCTCAGGGGATCAAGCAAATGAAGCAAACCTGGGCCTCCCGCATGCCGTCGCATGCTCTGCCTGCTCGACTATCTCCCAAGGTTCCATGTTTTTCAAGTGGCGAGATACCACTTCCCGTCAAGTAGGTCCATCTTTTGCTTTTCAGTCACACCTAGCATTGCTCAGGGCTGACTCCTGGCTCTGCACTTGGGCATTACTCCTGGTGAGGTTCAGGGCACCCTCTGGGATGCCAGGGATCGAACCGGGTCAGCCACGTACAAGGCGAGCGCCCTCCTGCTGAACCCTCTCTGGTCCCAGGGTGTCAGTCACTGTGCAAAAGAAAATGAATATCCGTGTGGAGCAGGGACGTGGGGAAGCCTGGTCTCCGTGGATGGAACAGAGAACAGCGCACACGCCGGCCCTGCTTGGCAGTTCCTCAAAACGTTCAAGTCACTGTATGACTCAGCGTTCACCCTGGAGAGACGGGGTGGGGGGGGGAGGGGGGGAAACCCAGGCTCCCCACGCATAGGACTCCATGCGCGGACGCTCCCAGCATCCCCGACAGCATGGGGGGGACACACCCAGGCTGTGGCCAGACGCCTTGGTGAGACCGGGTGGGGTGGGTGTGCTCAGGGCAGCTTGAAGCTCAGCCCTGAAAAGCAGCAGCTCCTGGGTGCCGCCACCAGTGGGATGAGCCTGAAACAGGAAGTGAAAGAGCCAAAAGCCCCAGAGAAGATTCCCGAACATGCAGCATCAGCACGGGGCTGGGGGGGGGGGGGGGGGAAGGCAGCAGAAGTAGTGCGGAGTGGTCTTTGTTTTGGGGCCTCCCTGGTGATGTTCGGGGGTTACCCCTGGCTCTGCGCTCGGGGATCACTCCTGGATGTCAGGGATCGAACCCGGGTCAGGCGCACGAAAGGTAGCGCCCCGCCCTGCTGTCCTGTGTGACTTGAGGGGGGTCTTTACTCTCCTTTTGTAGGCCACATGCTCAGTGGACACCAGCAAGGGCCTCATGCCCAGTCACATTTGGTGGATTCGATTCTAAGTCTGCCAGCTCTTTCCTCCAGATCTGTCCTTTATTTATTTGTGTACTATTTGGGTCACACCCGGCGATGCACAGGGGTTACTCCTGGCTCATGCACTCAGGAATTACTCCTGGTGGTGCTCGGGGGACCCTATGGGATGCTGGGAATTGAACCTGGGGTCGGCCCCGTGCAAAGCAAACGCCCTGCCCGCTCTGCTAGCGCTCCAGCCCCCAAGTCCCAAAACTTGAAGTTGTGCGTGGCTCCCTCTTCGTCTAGATCCTTTTGGCTTTATCAAATGCTTAATGAAAAAGCAACATGGGGCTGGAGGAGCGATAGAACAGTGGGGAGGACGCTTGCCTTGCTTGCGGCCAACCCGGGTTCGATTCCTGGCATCCCATAGGGCCCCCTGAGCACTACCAGGAGTTACTCTGGAGTACCCAGGCAGGAATCGGCCCCCTGTGTTTACCCTGAGCTCTAGAGCAACAGGACCGTGGGGAGGGTGTTCGTCTTGCACGCTGCACCCCGTGCGACCACCCTCAGTGCCGCCAAAGCTTCGTGTATTGCTGTACCCCACCTGGACCCTGGGCACCCCTCCGCCGCCCCACAGACCCAGGCCACGACCGAGGGGAGGACGGAATCTTTATTGAACTGTGTGGGTGCGGCACGCGGGCAGCTGGGGTCCTGGCGGAGCTGCCCGCTGCCCGGCTGCGGGGCCTGTCCGGACTCAGGTTCCAGGATCCGAGCATGCCGAGAGGCTTCACAGTTTTAATACTTCCCGGATGTTCGAGGTGAGGCAAAGTGAGAGAATGGCCCCCCCACCCCCGCCCTCCCCCCCAAAAGAAGACCCCCCCCTCAAGCTCCCGGCAGCTGCTGTGGCAGCCGTATGAAAAAATAATACAAACTCTTCTTAAAAAATAGATTACACAGAAAGAACCCAGGGGTGGGGGCGGGCTGGGGGCCCGGCGGGGGGTGGGGGGGACTGAGATGAACGTGGGGCTGCGATGCTGGTGGGCCCCCAGCTACGAGCCAGCCTCGAGCTCGCCTCCGGCTGCTGCCCCGCGGGGGTCTCCGCCTTTACCCTGAGGCCTGGTACCTGCTTCTCACTAAAGTGGCTTCAATAAAGAAATGAAATGACCCAGAGCAAGGGGGAGGGGGGAACCCCCACAGTGTGGGGGGGGCAGGACTGGAGAATGATCCATACCTGCTGCTACCTAAGCACCTGGGGGTGGGGGCCCCCTGGTGGCACCCGGGACGAGGTCCTTCTCTGCCACTCCTGCCTTCCTGCCCCCCAAAAGAGCTGGCCGGGGTGGGGGTGGCGGCCGGGAGGTAGGGGAGGGGGATGCCGGACATTGGGGCGGTGGGCATGGGGTGCGGCTCACAGCCCCTCCCCCCATGCAAGAAAGTGGGATGCTGGCCCCCCCTTGGAGCCCATGGTGGGTGCGCAGGCGGGAGGGGGAGGGGCGGGGCTTCGGTTCCAGCGGCCACCACCCGCGGGGGACTCAGTCGGGCACCTCGGGGTGGGCAGGCAGGGTGCTCTCGCCACGCCGGTACGTCTCCCAGAAGCCCCTGTCCAGCTGCTCCAGCTGTGGTCCCAGCGGCAGGTGGGCGGCCAGGTGCAGACGGAGGGTCTCCAGCCACTGCTCCAGCTTCACAAAGGAGGGCCTGGGGGTGTGGGGGGGGCGGGGTCGGTGGGTCCTGGTGGACCCAACTGTTTCTGGTTTGGGAGACCAGCTGCCCCGCCCCCAGCACGAGCCCCGCCCCCACCCCACTCACCTCTTCTCAGGGTCCAAATCGCAGCAGCGCACGGTTATGGGGAAGAAGCTCGGAGGGCAGCTGGGGGGGCAGTAGCGGTCCAGGAAGCCCCGGACGTTGAGGCCGAAGTCCATGGTGCGGGGCAGGTAGTCGGGGTCAGCGTTCACCCGCCCAATGATCTGTCCAGCACCAGGCCCAGCAGTCACTAGGCGCCCCAAGAGCTGGGGCACGCGGGCAGCGGAGTGGTCCCAGGGGTATGCGCCGGCAGCCCCCCAGCCCCCCCTTCCACCCACCTCACACAGGACAATTCCAAAGGAGAAGACGTCCACCTTCTCGTCGTAGCTCCGGCCTGCGGGAGAGAGCGGCTGTGAGCGGGGCCAAGCCTGGGGACGGGAACGCAGGAGGGGGCCAGCCCGGTCACAGAGGGGAGCGGGAGTGGCCGGGAGCCCCTGACATAGGCAGTGAGGGCTCGGCTGCTGAGGACACCAGGTGCAGTGTGTGCTGTGGGATTCCAGAATGTGGGGGGACAGGCCAGTGGGCCTGGGCCTGGGTGAGTGGTGGTGGCTTCAGCACAGGTGACACAAACGGCCTGAGCCTGCAGGCAACCTGGCAGGGGCTGAGGGGGCTCGGGGCCCAGGGCTGGGGTTCTCTCGCCCTCCAGGAACCTCCCTCTGGCTCCCTTCACAGGGGACCAGCCTGGGCTCCTTCCCAGGTCACGAGGTGCAGAGAGATGGGGGTCCTAGGCCCAAGAGGCGGTGACAAGCATGCCAGGTACATGTGAGACGGCCCGAGGCCCGGCACCCTGCTAGGGAGCACTCGAAACCAGGGAAGGCAAACATTCCTGATCTCTGCGATCACAGGACAGAACACATGCACGGGGGCTGGAGTGATAGCGCGGCGGGTAGGGCGTTTGCCTGGCACGTGGATGACCCGGGTTCGAATCCCAGTATCCCATACGGTACCCCAAGCACTGCCAGGAGTAATTGTGTGCAGAGCCAGGAGTAACCCCTGTGCATTGCTGGATGTGACCCAAAAAGAAACAACAACAACAAAAAGAACACATGCATACACACTACATGCACACACTCACATGTGCACAAACACGCACCCACACTCACACGCACTTGCACATGCACGCACACATTCACATCCACTCGCGCACACAGGACTCATGCACACACAGGCACTCACACTCACACACTCACGCTCACTTGCACACACATATGCACTCACATACACCCGTGCACATACACTCGCGCACACAGCCACTCACATACACGTGCACTCGCACACACAGGCACTCACACGTGCACTTGTGTATGCACACACACACAACTCACATACCCTCGGGCAAACAGGCACTCACACAAACTGGCACTCACTTGCACACACGCACTCACACTTGTACTCACATGTACACCCACAGGCACTTGCACGCACGCACACACACACGCACTCACACACACAGGCACTCACTTGCACACACACACTCACGCATGTACTCACATGCACACACACTCACGCACACCCGTACTCACACTTGTATACACACATACACTTGCAGCCGGGGAGGTGGTTGAGGAGATCAAAAGGAACAAAGGGGGGCTGGAGCCATAGACAGTGGGGAGGACCCTTGCCTTGCACGCAACTGACAGTGGTTGGATCCCCAGCATCATCCCATTGGATCCTCTGAGCACCACAGGGAGTGATTCCTGAGTGCACAGCCAGAAGTAACCCCTGAGCACTTCTGGGCAGGAGTCACCCCAGAGAACCAAAACCAAGAACAACAAAAGATTCACGTGGTAGGGGAGGGGGGGAAATAAGGGGAGTAATAGTGAAGCAGGGAGGGCGCTTGCCATGTGTGTGGCCAACCTGGGTTCAGTCCCCAGCACCTGACGTGGCTCCTGGAGCCCCACCAGGAGTGATCCCTGAGCACAGAGCCAGGAGTAAGCCCAGAGCACCGCCGGCTGTGGCCAAAAGAAAAAAAAAAGAAAGAAAAAAAGGTATAACTGAGTTTCCATTTGTGGGGCCAGTGCCTGCGCATTCCGGGTCTACTACAGTAAACATCAACCCATTGTGCGGTCAGCGGCCGTGGCTACTTGGTCATGACCACACCTGGGCACTAGCAGAGGATACATGCTGACCCCTTCACAAGCCCTGGCCCAGCCCCACGGGACCCACAGGAGAGAGGGCTAAGTCCTGCCCGCAGGGTAGGCTGCTCCCGCCCCTCCATGCTGACTGGTTAGCACAGGGCTCAGGGGTCCATGTGTGGCCATCACCTGACCATGAAAGGCCAACACAAACGCGGGGTGGCAGGCTGACCGGCCCCAGCTGTTCATGCCCATCCCTGAACCCCAAGAACGAGGGATCCGGATTATCGGGGTGCTGCTGATGCTGCGAATGTTGCCACTAAGCCCCGAGGGAAAGAGTGGAGAGGTGGCAGGCAGAGAAAAGGGGCACCCCGGGTGGAGACGGAGGCTGGAAGAGATCACCTGCCCCCAGGCTGGACGCACCCGCAGATGCCCATTCCAGCTAGGGACCCTGCCCTAGACTCGCCCTCCAGAACCTCAGGAGGGTCTGTGGCTGTTTCTGTTTCCCTGTGGATCTGTGGGTCACACCGACCCTGGGGTGAGCTGGGGGGCCCTGCATGGTGGGGGTCCCACCCAGGGCTCCCACCCCGCTGCGCGCCTGGAGCCGAGGGGCTCTGGCAGCCGGGGCCTCACCGTTGATCATCTCGGGTGCCATCCAGTAGGGGTTGCCCACCACCGTGTAGCGCTTCTTACGGTCTGGCTTCTTGAGGCTGCGCAGGTCCTCGGGCTGTGTCTTCTCGTCCACCATGAGCCGAGCCAGCCCGAAGTCGGCGACCACCACGTTCTTGTTCTGGGAGGGCAGACGGGACAGTCCCTGTCACCTGGAGCTCCTGTCTGAGGCCTGGCCTTACCCGGCCCGGCCCTCCCCACGCTGCCTCTGGCCCCGCCCCTCCTTCAGCCCCACCCATGCGGCCCTACCCCTCCCCACTCACAAGGCCCCTCCCACAAGGCCCGCCCCTCCCGTCAAGGCCCCTCCTCCCCAGCCCCACCCACACAGCCCTCACCCCTCCCACAAGTCCTGCCCCTCCCCTCCCCACCAAGGCCCCGCCCTCCCTAGCCCCACCACAAGCCCCGCCCATCCCTTGTCCCGCCTACCAAGGCCTCCTCCCTCCCCACCCACACAGGCCCCTCCCACAAGGCCCACCCCTCTCCTTGCTCCATCCACCAAGGCCTCTCCTTCCCCAGCCCCACCCAATACAGCCCCCACCCCTCCCAAAAGGCCTGCCCCTCGCCGGCCCCACCCCTCCCCTATCCACCAAAGCCCCGCCCCTCACCCACAGGCCCCTCCCTCCCCAGCCCCACCCACACAGACCCGCCCCTCCCCCCTTCCAGCCAACCAGGGAAGGCGGGAAAGCTGCCCAGTGACCCTGCTGGGTTTGGTCCTGGGGAGTCCTACTAGGCTCCTAAAGGGACCCTCTGCACGTTGCTGCCTTCCTCCCTGGGCCTCTGGCGGAGCCCGTTGGGAGCTCCCAGAGGACAGGCACGCTGAGCAAGTAGACCTTGTCATCCCTTCTGCCCAGACCTGGCCAGCCTCCTCTGTGCGTCCTTGGAAGGGGGGAGGCTCTATGGAAGAGCTGGTGTCGTGCCAGCAGGGTTCGGACGAAACCCCAACACAAAGGGTGGGGGTGCCCACTGGAGTGGTGAGGCCACCCTTGCCCACGGAGCCTTTGTTTGGGGCGACACGTGGGTGTTCAAGGCTTACTCCTGGCTCTGGGCTTGGGGCCACCCCAGGTGGGGCTCTGGGGCCAAGTTCGGCCCTGTGCCTGCAGTGCGTGAGCCTGTGGTGCGTGAGGCCAGTACCCGACTGTCACTCCAGGCCCCTTCCCCTCCCCTCGGCGCTTCTAGAAGGATCCAACCCTGCCGATACTTTGATTTGGGACTTGCTTCCTGGACTTGGAGATTCATTTTCTTGGCCACAGGGTGTGCGTGTCTGGCTGTGAAAGGCAAGAAGCTGCTCGGTGGGCTGTCTGGGGTCGCCATCACCGTCCCTAAGGGTCCCCAAGGACCCACCTGCATGGCCGGACCCTTGGACCCACGGCCCAGTGCCTCAGGGGGCCCGAAGTACACGTAGGCCATGTCACTCCGGGACATGGGGACTCAGACTCCTGTTTCCCTGAGTCCCCTGTTTCCCACCTAGCCCGGGCTGATTCCCACCCGCTCCCCAGGGAGCAGCAGGGGGACGGGCCGGCGGCTCACCTCGCGGACCAGGCAGTTGTGTGAGTTGAGGTCCCGGTGGATGATGTTCATGGAGTGGAGGTAGGCCTGGGGGTGGGGACATGGAGGTCAGGGGGCAGCATGTGCTCTGCCCCACCACCCCCAAGGCTGCGGGGCTAGTGGTGGAGGGCGGGTTTGCAGGCAGGGTCACTCACCATGCCGGAAGCAATGTCCTTGGCGAAGCCCACCCTCTGGGCCCAGGGGTACTGGCTGTCCTGGGGATGCAGAGGGTGGAGGGGTGAGCATGGCAGGGCAGGGCGGGCAGGGGCGGGGTGTTTCTGATTTCTTTTTTTTTCTTTTTCTTTTTGCTTTTTGGGTTACACCCGGCAATGTGCAGTTGTTCCTCCTGGCTCTGCACTCAGGAATTCCTCCTGGCGGTGCTCGGGGAACCATATGGGATGCTGGGAATGGAACCCGGGTCGACCACGTGCAAGGCAAACGCCCTATCCGCTGTGCTATTGCTCCAGCCCCAACAACTGCTGGCTTCTAAGGGGTGTGGGCGGGGTAACCCCAGTTCTCTAATAAAACAGTCGCAAACAGGAGGGTCCCTCCTCCAAGCTCCAGCCACCACCTCCAGGGAAAACTGCTGTATTTAGCTTCTACAGAATCCCACGCGTTCGTGCTTAGACCCCATTTTAAAATCAGAACCTGCTTCTGGGCAGGGAATCACGTGAGGAGCAGGGGTGGGACTGGGCCGGTTCCGTGCTGCAGGAAGGGGGGGATGGGGGGAGCAGGGGAAGGCCCCGCCTCTCAGCCCCCAGGGAGAGTGGTGTCATCCGTGTTTCTCACTCCTGCTCCACCGTGGTGTCCCTGGAGGAGTCTCATGGGATGAGCCTGTGGGGAACCGCTCCAGGGAGCACCCCTGGGCAGCAGGTGCTGGAGAGAACCTGGGGCCAGGCTCTGGGTGAGCCCAGGGTCCCTAGGGACCGGCTAGAGGCACCAGGATTCTAGAGGTGCCCTGCTAGTGCTTTCATTATTTAAAAAAATTTTGTTTGTTTGTGCCTCATCTGGGGGTGTTCAGGGATTATTATCCCCGGCTCTGTGCTCAGGGGTCACTTCTGCTTGTGCTGAGGAGACTAAACACAAGGCCAGGGACAGAATCCGGGTCAGCTTAGTGCAGAGCAAAGCGCCAACACTTTTGAAATCTCATTCTGGGGGTGGGGGGGTGTCAGTAGAGCAGTCAGCCCCCCACCCCACACACCACACAAGGCCAGCCTGGGTTCCAGCCCCAGCACCCCATATGGTCCCCTGAGCTCTGCCGGAGTGATCCGTGAGCCCAGAGCAAGGAGTCAGCCCTGAGTGTGGCCCCCCCCAAACCGAACAGAGAAACAGAAACCAAAAACGGGGAGGAGCGGCGGGGAGCACTCACCATGCTCTTGATGATGCCCCGGAGGGTGCCGCCCTTGATGTACTCGGTGATGAAGTTGAGCCGCTTGTCCTTGTAGAGGACCCCGATGAACCGCAGCACGTTGGGGTGCTCCAGGCAGCGCATGACTTTCACCTGGAGGGGCGCAGGAAGACCAGGCCTTGCTCCGTCGCCCCCTGGCCGCACGGTTCCCTCCCCCGCCCCACCCCCATCATCCCAGAATCCCCCCCACAGCCCTGCTGTGTGCTTGTGTCCCAGGATCCCGGCCAGCCGCTGACCTCCTTGAGGAACGTCCTCTGCGTCTCCTCGTCGAAGCGGATCAGTTCCTTCATCACCATCACCTCGCCTGTCTCCCGGTGAGTCACCTGCACGGGAACGCGGGGACCCCTCGTGTTTCCTGCGGTCATGCCCCTGCCCTGGGAATCTGCATTCGCTCCCAGCCCAGGAAATGGGCTCAGCACCCACAGGCCCCCAGTGGGCTTCCAGCAGGATGGACAGGGTCATGCCCACCAGGCTGCCCGCTGGGAGATGTCCCTGGCTCTGCCTAATCCTGGGCTTAGCCAGCAGGAGGCGGAGCAGCCAACCTTTGTCAGGACCCAGGACGAACGGGCCCTGGGGGGCCGGCCAGCCACCCTCCCCTGCCTGGGGTCACTCCCACAGTCCCCTCTGCATCCTGTCCGGGCCTCTCTGTGGGTGCACTCCCCTCCCCCATAGCTCAAGGAGAGTCCGTGGGGGGGAGAGTGGGCGGGGCTCCGGTAGCCGACACCCCTCTCCGGAAGGTCGCCCCCTACCTTGATGGCTTGGCCGAAGCAGCCCTTGCCCAACACCTCCCCGTGGATGAGGTCGGAGGGCCGGAAGATGCGGTGTGGCCGGCAGACCACCCGCAGGGACTCGGAGCGGCCAAGGTCCTTGCGGGGGGAGGCCGACGGGGCAGCTCCCGGGGACGTGTCGATGCTGCAGCTCCTCCTGTGGGCACAGCGCCAGGGTGAGGCGGGCACGGACGCGGGCCAGCGGGTCCCCGACTTCCTCTCCCGGCATTGGCCCAGCAGATCCAGAAAGAGAGACCCTCAGTGGTCCCACAGAGACCCCAGAGTCCCAGGCTGCCGCCTGAGGTCCTTCCCAGTGCCCCACGAAAGGGAAGGGCACATGCCCGACCCTTCCCATGGGCATCCCTGGACGGCGTGCTAATGTCCCCAGTCCCAGGGACACTTCCACACAGGGAACACGTGCCAGGGGCACTGGAACCCCGTCACAGGCCCACGGGAGCCATGCCTGTCACTTCTGCCCGGTGCCCCTCCATCCTTTGCCCCCTCAGGGCCCCCCAGAACCCCCCCGTCAGCCCAGGCGCCCCACAGATGCCGACGCTCAGGACTGCATCCTCGCCAGTGACACCCCGAGTCCCAGCCTGATGGACACTGACCAGTTCCTGGGGTGCCTCCTCCCCACACCACGAACCCAGTTCCCGGGAACCTCTGGGCCAACTCACAGGACGGGCTTCTGCCGGGTCACGCTGCCCGCCTCCCCGCCGGACGTGGGGGCTGGGGAGGCCAGGGGGCTGGGCTCGGGGCCCAGGCCGGGGGCCAGCGTGTCGTGGGGGTCATGCTCGAGTGTCAGCTGCAGCAGGCGGCTGGTCTCTTGGATCAGCAGGTCAATCTGGGGAGGGCAGGGCCGGGGTGAGCAGTGGGGCAGGGGGCTTGGTGGTGGGGGGTCAGCAGGCGGGGACCGACCCCGTCCAGGGGCACGGTGGGGGTGGACAGGCGGGGGCCCTACCTCGTCCAGGGGCACGTTGCGGATGGGTGTGCCATTAATCTCCAGCACCCGGTCCCCCACGTGGATGGCATTCTTCACATCCGGGCTCATGCAGCCTGGGTCCACTCTGAGAGCACAGTGAGGTCAGACCCTGCCCAGCGGTGGCCCTGTCTGCGCCCTGAAGCCGGCAGGAAACTAAAGCCCAGGGCACCAGGTTGGGAGAAGGACACGGGGGGTGGGGTGGTCCTGGAGAGAGCCCGGCAGGGAGGGTGTTTGCCTCACATCTGGCTGACCTGCATTCTATCCCCGGCATCTGGTAGGGTCCCCTGAGCACTGCCAGGTGTGCCCCCCCCGCCCCCAAACAAACAAAATGCCAGGGCATCTCAGGGCAGTGGCTCGGCCCAGACCAAGGCAGGCACGGTCGCTGTAGGCTCCCAAGGCCCCTTCTCCGTTTCAGGGTCACCCTCAGGAGTACTCAGGGGTCACTTCTGGAGCGGGTGGCGCCGAGTCTCCCAAGTGGTCCTCCGGGGGCCTGGGGACCCTTCCTGCCAGTACCCAGTGGCCAACTGGCCTGGACGGTTTGGTGTGTGGGCCGGGCGGTGTGGGATGACAGCACTCCAGCCAGCCCTCGAGCGAGCAGTGCTGAGGGGCCTGGGGCTGGGAGAGCCAGGAGCTGGCGGCTCAGACCGGAACCGCTTCAAGTTGCCACAGTTCTGCCCACAGACTTTGAAACCACACGGGGAAATCAGTTCCCCTTGCTGCCAACGTGGGCGCGCACAGTCAGGGGCTCTTCCCTGGAACCTGGAGGGGGGCTGTCGGAGGTGGGGGGACTCCGGGGTCCTGCTGTGAGCGGCCCCCGGGGGACGTGCGAGGTTCTCAGGACCAGCGGGGCAGGCGCTCGGACTCACCCCCTCCGCCGCCCCTCCCTCCGGGGCCCGCACTCACCCCTGCACCCGGACCGTGTGGCTGTGCTCGGGGCCACAACCCGGGGCGCCGTGCGGGGGGTCGATGGACACGGACAGGCCCCGCTTGCCGTGTGCGGAGGCGGGGATGGACACGAGGGTCACGGTGTGGGGCAGGTGGGAGCCGGGGGAGTCGGGCAGGATCTGCTCGATGACGGGGGTCACGACGGTCTGGTAGTAGCAGTGTCCACTGCGGGCCGGTGGGGGGGGGGAAGGACAGGGTGTGAGTGCGGCCCCCGGCTCCCCTCACTGACCAGGGGCACTGGGGTCTGGGTGCTGTGCTGGGTGGACGAGGCTGGCTCAGGTCTGGTTCTCTAGACCCTCGGAGCAGCGGGGAGAGGTGGGGAGGAGGGGTGTTGGGTGGGGGGAAGGGAGGGAAGGGAGGGGCAGCAGTGCTCTGGCCCTGCTCTTCATGCCCACCACCATGCCCCTTTGCCCCCGCCCCCGGCCCCAGGCTTCATGCCGCGGACTCAGGAGTGGGCTCAAGAGACGAGGCGCTGAGCACTGTCGGGGGTGGGGGGGCACATGGTACCTCCAATACGGCACAGAGGGGGCCCGAGAAGCTCTGGAGGGCTGGGGATGGAGTGTGCGTACGTGCGTGTGTGTATATGTGTGTGTGTGTGTGTGGTGGGCACGCATGCACGTGGGGTGTTTGACATGAGTGTATACATGTGGGGTTTGTGTGTGTGTGGTGGGCACGTGTCCGGGGCCCTGTGGGCCTGCCCCTGAGTCTCTTCATGGGGCTGGAGTGTGATGGGGAGGCTCTTCTGCATGTTGAGGAGCTGGGAGTGCCTTGCGGAGCCTGGGGGGCTGGGGGCTCCCAGCCGTGTGGCCAGTTGGTCAGTGAGGGGCCTGCAGACTTGAGGTCAAGCGCGAGCGGCCGGCAGGGGAGCCACCCCGACGCATTCTGAGAACGGGGGCTTCGGACTCACCAGTACAGCCGGGAGTGCTCCACCAGCGTGTATGTGTCCCCGTCCCCGATGAAGGTCCCGCACGTGAGGCAGATGAAGCACTCGGGGTGGTACTTCAGCTCCCCGGCGACCTGCGGGCGTGGGGCGCAGTTGAGCATGGCCCTCCCAGGTGGGGCCGGAGGTGGGCGCGGGCCGGGAGTGGGGGGGGGATCCCAGGACTCACCATGACCAGCCCCTTGGTGATGTGCTCGGAGCAGCCGTGGCACGACTCGCCGTGGCGCGCCCAGTAGTCCTTCTTGCAGAAGAGCTGGCCATCCTTCTCGTAGTACTGCTGGGCCAGCGCCACGCCGCACTCACAGCACCTGCGGGGGGCTGGCACTCAGGCCTCTGCCGGGCACCCCCGGGCGGGCCAACCTCCCCAGTCCTGGACTCCATCCCCCAGGTCCAGCACTCCGTGTCCAGCTGTGCAGGCTCTCCTCTCCCGGCCCTCTGCCCTCTGCTTGGTCCTGATGGTGCAGGCCCCTCCGTCCAGCCCTGAGCATGGCAGAGGGGGCAGGGGCGCCCCCAATGCCCCTGGCAGGAGGCACCCGCACCCCAAGGGCCTGGCTGAGTCTCCGTCAGGGATGGGAGGGCCTGCCCCTGAGCCCGGCTTCTTGTGTCCCAGCAAGGCAGGGTGGTGAGCTGGCCCTAGCCGGGGGCGCCTACGGGGGCCCCTTCCCATTCTCTGAGCCACGAGGCTGAGCTGGGGTGCGGGTATGACAGTGGGGAGGGTGCATGTCAGCATGTGGCTGACCTGGGTTCGATCCCTAGCACCCCAGAGAGTTCCCGGAGCAGCACCAGGAGTGATCCCTGAGAACAGAGACAGGAGCAGGCCCTGAGCACTGCCGGGTGTGGCTGCCAAGACCATGGCTCCGCTCCCCCCCCAGCTATTCTGTGCCCTCAGCTGGGGAGCTGGGGATGCTTCTAATTCCCAAACCCCAGCCAGGTGCCGCCCCTCACAGGCAGGGGTCGAGGGATGGATGTGCCCTGCACATCTGAGACCCGGGTTCGAGTCCCAGCACTGGTACAAGACAGAAACCAACAAAGTCCTTCCGCAAGGGGGGTGAGGGTGTTGGGGCACAAAAGCAGAAGGGAGAAAGACCAGATAGAACAGCAGGTAGGGCACTGGCCTTGCACACAGCTGAACCAGGTTCTGTCCCCATGCCCCATGTACGGTCCTCTGAATCTGGTCACAAGTGATCCCTGAGCACTGAGCCAGGAGTCACCCCTGAGCACTGCCAGGTGTGGGCCAAAAATCATTAAATAAAAAGACCAGATCTCCAGGCCTGGTATGGGGGCGCCAAGGAGGTGTGATGCACAGATGCGAAACTCAAGAGACACAGGGTGTGTGTGTGTGTGTGTGTGTGTGTGTGTGTGTATGAGAGAGAGGTGGGCTCTGCTCTGTTCAGTAGGGAAATCACTCAGGTCATTTCATCCCCAGGCCAGCGGGGCAGCAGGGACCTGGGTGAGACTGTCCCTTCCAGGACTTGGGGCAGGCAGCAGTCGGCCTGCTTGGTGCCCGCCAGGATACAGGACGCGGCCCCTTTAAGAGACTTCCCCATTGTCTGGGCCGGGAGGGGCGGGACCTGTCAGCCCAGCGCAGGGGCGAGTGTGTGTGTGCCCGAGTGTGTGTGCCCGGATGGTCAGAGGGACCAGTGTGGGGGCACAGGGAGGCTGGGGTGTGGAGAGCCTCTGGAGATCTCCCGGGACAGAGGCGGCTGCGGAAGTGGAGGCAGGACCAGCTGAGCATGATGTCACCTCCCCCGCGCCCCCCCCCACTCCAGACGGGCCGCCTCTGGCGGTGGGGTGCGAGGGGAGGGGGGAGGCGTGTAGGTGTCAGTCCCTCACTCCACCAGAGCCCCCCTTAGGCCGGGGCTGGTGGGGGGGATTCACCTGCCGCCTTCTCCAGGGGCAGACACGCAGCCAGGAACACCACACCCCGGCCCCCAGCGGGCCCCCAGCTCCCCAGTGCTGGCTGACAAGCTGCAGGAAGCGCCCCCTCTCCTGGGGGGGGAGTCTCGTATCCTGGCCACCTGCTGCTTGTTCTGGGGACCCCCAGCCCTCTGGCCTCCTGAGTGCCTGCATCCAGTTCCCAGGCCATAGGGAGCTCAGAGGCCGCCGGGGTCTCCCCACTGCCCCCCCCGATCCTCCTTTCACATTGGTGGGTTCCCTGGTCTCTGCCGTTAGCCTGGAGCTCCCTGCGGTCCTGGGGACCCAGAGTGGACCCCACAGTCGGGGTTCCCCCCACACCTACCTCCTGCACTGCCAGATCCTGCTTGGCCTCCACTCAGAGAAGGGGGTCTTGGGGATGGGTGGTCTGTGCCTTTACTGACCAGTACACACAGGGCCCTCCTCCTGACCATCCCGGCCATCCCCTCCACCCTGGGCGCCGCACCTGGCCAGGAGCAGACACAGGCCTGACCTCTGGGGTGCCCCCACCCAGAGGGGTCCCGGGGACAGGTCACAGGGGAGGGGAGCCCTAGCCAGAGGGATTCAGGGGCCGGCTGGTGTTCCCGAGAGAGCAGAGATGGCCATGAAGAACTGGGGTGGGACCCCAAAAGTGGCAGGAACAGCCTCAGTGACGGGCTGGCGAGCAGAGCTAACAGCTCAGAAGCTCGGGGCCACCCACTGCCCTTAACCGGTGCCGGCAGAGACCCGAGTTTCAGTTCTGCCCAGTAGCCAGCAGGTGGGGGCCTCTGCCTGGTCTCACAGGGGCCACTGGGAGACAGGGGGGGGTCCCCACTCACCTGGCCCTTCTGGGAAGGGGAGCCCTTCTCTTGGCCAGCATCCTGGGCTGCTCTCCGGGATGGGGGGGTGGTGCTGCCCTGCACTCCCCGGCTGGAGCACACCACAGGGGGCGGGGCCGCAGGAAGGCGGGCAGAGGAGCTCGTGGTCAGAGCCTGAGCTCGTGGTCGGAGCTGGCCGGAAGTCTGGGCCGGCAGGTGGGTGGCGTGGCCACTGGGTGCTGTGCACTCCCAGGAGGCGCCACCATGCTCCTCCCCAGGGCCTAGGGACAAGCCTGAGCCCTGCGGTCTCGTCCAGGGCTGCCCCCAGGGGGCAGGGGACAGGGGGCCATTCCCATTTGGGGCACAGTCTTGAATGAAAGGGCCCCCAGCTCTGGCCTGCCCTCCGCCAAGCCGGTGGTCTGTCTCCCTCGGTCCCTGGAGAGGAGAGCTCTGGCAGCCTCCTGGGTGCACCGCAGGCGCCGAGAGGCCACAGGGGACCCCCACCACCCCCCATCGCTGGAGGGAAGGGGCTCAGCGGGTGAAGCCTGGCTTCACCCCATTTTCAGAGCATCCGGCTGTGCCAAGGGACAGAGAACAGAAACATGGCCACGTGGCCCCTCTCGCCGTCCGTGGGTGAGCACTGTGGGTGCACCCCTCCCCACTGAGCCAGCAGCTCTGTGGGAGCCACAGGATGGGGGCAGCCTCTCGAACAAGCTTCTCCCTCTGGTCTGCCCCCGCCCCCCACTGCCAGCACTGGAGGGTAAGGGCCCCTACGAAGCTGAAGCTCGGGGCGCACCCTGCCACTGCATCCCTCCTCTGGTGGTGGGACGGCCCTCCCACCCCGGCCCCACATTCTCTCCAGGATTTCTCTCTTTTGGGGGAGGGGCAGAGGACTCTCGACCTCTGCACTCAGGTATGACTTCTGGCGAGGTGCAGGGGACCCTACGGGGTGCTGGGCAGAGAACCTGAGTTGGCCACGTGCAAGGCAAGGCCTTCCCTGCTAGCCTATCTCTGGGGTTCTGGAGTTTTCTCTCAGTGCCCTCTCAAGTGGTACCTGCCTCCCAGTACAAGGCCGGGGCGGGGCCCCAGGCCCACAGCTCGCCCCGGATTCGCTGGCTCTCCCCTCTGCAGGAAGTGGGGCCGGGCTGGGCTCTGGCTGGTTCTCGGGGTCTCTCCCCTTCTCCCCAGCAAACCAGGGGAGACAGGATACGGCCCGGGGCGCATGGACGCCCACATGACAGGTCCTAGGCCACCATGGCCACTTTGTGCCCGAGAGCTCCCCCCCAGGGCTGCTGTCCTCAGGTGGCCTTCCGGGCAGACCCCTGAACTCCTATGTCTGTCCCTCCCTCCCCAACTCCCCTCCCCCCCATGTCCCCATCGTCTCACCCCCTCAAGCTGGCCCCCCCCCAGGGCTTCCACATAACCTGCTATTTTGGAGCAAACAGACCACCCCTCTTCTCTGAGGGGTCCCCATCTCCCCAACTCTGCCTAGAGAAGGGATCCGTACCCCTCAACCCACCTCCCAATGCCCCCAATGGTGCTGTGTGACTGCTTGCAGGGAACTGCCCCCTCTGAACGCCAACGAGGGAAGCAGCCCGCGGGGAAGACCCTTGGATCCCCATTTCGCTGCCCATGGGGCCCCCCAAGTCATGTACAGGGAGATGCTTTTCAGAGCAGACCCAAAGCAGACTGCACAGGTACACCGACAGACAGACGGATAGACAAACAGAGGCCGCCACAGCTGTGCCACTTCGCTCTCATGGCCTGCGGATGATCAGAACTCGCCCACTTTATAAACGTTGCCACAGTTTTGGGGTCTGGAGCGTCCGAGGTTTTGGGCACGTGGGGGGGGGGGCTGGGGTTGGAGACAGTGGCTCCAGATACAGGAGCTTGACTGTGTCCAGCTAGACAGGACGTGAGGACCTTAGAAAGGGGAAATGGTCGGGACTGGAGCAACAGGACAGCCGGAGGGAATTTGCCTTGCACAGAGCTGACCTGGGTTCGATCCCTGGTATCCTACAGGGTCCTCTGAGCCCCGCCAGGCCCGATTTCCTGAGTGCAGAGCCAGGAGTAAGCCCCGAGCATTGCCAGGTCTGGCCCAAAGACAAAACAAAAAAGAAAAGAAAAAAATGCTGACAGCGGTGTACGCCGCCCGCCACCAGTTCAGCCCTTCCGCCCTGCCCAGTGCCTGCCTGGCCACCGGCGACTCCTTCCCCGTCTCTCTGAAGACCAGCTGCTTGCCTACTGGGCCGGCCAGCTCAGTTCCACCCCGGGCCTGCAGAGGGTCAATCTTCCCCGGAAACTGCCGATGCTCGGCGAGGCTGCCCGCCCTGGCCCAGGTTCAGGCCAGGCCCTGTGCTGGCCAAGTCTGGGAGGGAAGGGCCAGGCTACGCCTCAGGGCCGTCTCTGGGGCCAGGCCAGGAGCCACCGCTTGCTGGGTCCCTCGCAGGAGCTGCTGGAGGCAGTGGGTCGGGCCTGCCATCTCCTCCCTCTGCCCTTGCCGGGCCTGGGGACACGGGCTGAAGCAGTGGCGACGATCCCTCACCCTCCTCCTCTCCTGGAGGTCTAGAACATGAATCAAGTGGCCCTAAGGAGCTTCGAGTGCAGATGCCTTTGCGGCTGTGGTTTCTGGAGGTCACACCCAGCCTTGCCCAGGGGACTGGGTGGTGTCCAGGACGGAACCCAAACCCGGGACCTCCCTCTGAGCTATCTCCCTGACCCCTGGAATGCCTTTTACGGGCGGGGAAACTGAGGCCGCAGACATGCCAGGAAACGGTACTGGAGGCCAGGCCATGCCCTCTGTACCTGAAGCAGTCGGCGTGCCAGTCAGCGTCCAGGGCCTGGAGGTACTGGCCGTCGTAGATCCTGTGGCCGCAGCTCGCACACACGGGCAGCTCACTTCCTGCAGGGGTGGAGAGCGTCAGGACCCTGCTCGGGGTGGGGGGTGCCCCGCCAGCCCCCCTGCTCCCGTCCAAGCCTGGTGTGCACTCCACCGGGCCACCGGGGTTCAGTGCAGGGTATGTGGGTCCGAGACCATGCAGAGACGCTGGAGTGAGCCAGCCTGTCAGGGCCTCGGTTTCCCCGGATGTAAGTGGAGAGAGGATCGAGTGTCCACCCTGTGGCCATAGCACTCTTCAGGGTCGGGCAAGGTGAACAGGGAGAGGACGAGCAGCAGGATTTGGAAGCGATGTGGAAGGGACACTGCTATCACTCCAGCTGCCTCATCCCTGCCCAGGAGGAGGGACTGGGCAGGGCTGGCTCGGGGTGCCCTGAAGTCCAGCGGGGCTGGCCCCCCAGCACAGGGCAGCGCTGCAGAGCAGGGCCTCCCTCCCGAAAGTCAGCGCAGAGGCCTGGCACCTGCCCCACAGCCACCAGGCACGCTTAGTCATCAGACTCTGCCGGGCCCTGGAGGGTCCCTCCACCTCCTCTCTTCCTGAACAAGGGGGGACGGAGCCCCGGAGAAGGTGAGGGTCCCAGGCCGGTCCCTCTGTGAGGTGCAGTGATGATAAAGTGGTGGGGGGGTGGGGAGGGGCTGCCCAGAGACATCTAAGACTGTGGGGACCCCCATGGTTAAAGGTGGACAAAGAGGCCTTGTCCCTGCCTCCAGCTGGGGACGTGGTGTGGATCTTAACCGAGGGAGCCGCAGCCCAGCTTTGGGCCTTGTAGGGGTGAAGGAGCTGAGGGGCTGGGAGGGGAGTTGCAGAGTAGGGTAGGGGTTCCCTACCCCAGGATTTCCCCCCTCCCCCCGCCATGACGCCCCGCCGGAGGCAAATCTGTACCCTGCCTATCAGGACCCCCCAAGATCCCAGTATAGGGGGGAGGCGCAATCTCGGGGTCCTCTACTGTCCAGCCAGGGAAACTGAGGCCTGGCTGGCAGCGCCTGGCTCAAGGTCACCGACCCAGGGCTGCGGCTTCCCAGCGCCTCTTTCTTCCCAGGCCGGGTGTCTCACGGGCGAGCCCGGGTCGCGGGTGTCCGGAACTGCACCCGGGGGTCGCCGATGAAGGGAGCGGGCTGGGGGGGGGGGGGCTCTCCGTCCGCGGGGGGTGCAGCCCACCCAGCGCCAGGGCGGGGACGGGGTGGGGGGAGTGCGGGTCGGGGAGGGGCCTGCGGGCTCGGTCGGGCGAGCTCATCCCCGAGCAGACAGGGGCGCGGCCTCGCGGCAGACCCGGCCTCCACGGCGGCCCGGCCCGACCCCCCGCCCCCGTGCGCCCCCGCCCGGTGCCCCCCGGCCGCCCCCCGGCCCGTGTCCCCGGCCCGCGCACCTTCCTCTCCCATACGTTCTTCCCTCCAGGTGCAACAAAGTAGCGTCAACCTCATGCACTCGGCGGGGGGCGGGGCCCGGCGGGCTGGGGCGGGGGGCGGCCCGGGCCCCGCGAGCTCCCCGCGGCCGCCACCGGCCCCGGGACGCGGAGGCGCAGAGCGCGGGCCGGGCCCGGGGGGCCGGGCGCGGGCGGGCTCGGGGCTGGACACCGGCTCCGGCCCCGGCGCGGCGCCGCGGCGGCCTGGACAGGGAGCGGGCGGAGGCGGGGCGTCGGGGCTGCGGCACGGGGGCGGGCCGGCGGGAACTGCCCTGCGCGGCCCCGCCCCGGCCCGCCCGGTCCCCGCCCCGCGCCGCTGCGGCGCCCGCCCTCGCCCCGCCCCGCCCTATCCCCGCCCGCGCCGCTGCGGCGCCCCGCCCCCGCCGCGCAGTCCCGCCCTATCCCCGCCCGCGCCGCTGCGGCGCCCCGCCCCCGCCCGCGGGCCCGCCCTCCTCCCGCCCCGCCCTATCCCCGCCCGCGCCACTGCGGCGCCCCGCCCACGCCTCTTATCCACGCCCCCCCGCGTCGCCCTGCCCTATCCCCGCTTCGCATTCGGTGACGCTCCGCCCCTGGCCTCGAGATGCGGCGCCTCGAGCCCCGCTCCCCTGAGCCGCCTCCTTTCATTCATCTTTCAGGGCCTCGGCCGCGGGCACCGCCCAGCGGGGACGGGTTTCTGGACGTCTGCGAGCGAGGGACGTGGGGTTCTGAAGCCTCAGCCTAGTGGGGTGCCGATGCCCGGAGAAGGGATCTCAGTTTTCCCGCCGAGAACCGCCCAGATCCCAGTACGGAGCTGGAGGAGACGCCGTGCTCGCTCCCCGAGGACCTGGAGGACGGGCGGTGGCCAGCAGAGGGCCGGGCCCGGAGTGGAGGGCGGGGACCAGGGTCCTCTGGGCTGGAATCCCGGGAGCGGGACACTCGACTGGGCTCTGCCAGCCGCGCTCCTTGTTTGCTCTTGCTGGTGCAGGCGACCTGCAGCACCGCCGGGCAGGGTGAAGTGGCCGCAGGAATTGGGCTGGGCCAGGGAGGGCGCAGAACCCTCCCGCTCCGTGCCCCACCCTCGCTTGATCCCGGGGAGGAGAACGCAGTGGCCCAGTGCAGCCAGCCAACACTCAGCCATCACCCGGTGTAGACCTCTCATCGCCTGGTGTACACGTCTGTCCGGGGCTCAGAGACTGTGCAAGCTGGGGGCTCGTGGCGTTTGGGTGCCAACCGTTTACCCTGGGGAGGGAAGAGAACTTTGATTTTAGGGGGGCAACATCGAGGGGCACTCAGGGGCTGCTCGTGGGGTGCTGGTCTCCAATCCTGTCCTCCGGCATGCAAAGCAGGTGTTCCAGCAGACTCAACCGTTTCCCTGGCCCAAGATCAGAACTTCTTTGCTTTCGCTTTGGGGAGGCACCTGGTGATGCTCAGGGTTTATTTCTGGCTTTGAGCTCAGGGATCACTGGCAGCGGGGCTCAAGGGACCGTATGGGATTCTGGGGATTGAGCCCGAGGTGACCACATGCAAGGCAGGTGCCCGCCCTGCTATCCGTGGGCCTAGAAGCTAGACGGTTCAAACTGTTTGGTGTCAGATGGTCACAGGTGCTCTTGGTTGTTTCTGGGAATTTATCAGTCCACCCACCATTATGTTTCTTTTTCTTTTCTTTCTTCCTTCCTTTATTTTATTTTTATTTTTGGCTTTTTGGGTCACACCCAGCAGTGCTCAGAGCTTACTCCTGCTCTGCACTCAGGAATTACTCCTGGCAGAGCTCAGGGGACCCGATGGGATGCCGGGGATTGAACCCTCTGAGGATGTTGCTAGGAGGCAGAGGCCCAGCAGCAAACAGTGCACACCAGGACGGATTAAGGGATGCCCAGGACACCTGGCACAATGGTTGTCCCCTACCCTCACCCCATGAATGTGGAGGGTACACAGTGGCCCCTGAGTGGCCCTGGGCCTGGCATGCTGAGTGACATCCAGTCCCGACAGAATTGCTCATTGCATAATGAACCAACCTATGGGCTCAAAGGATAGGAATGTGACCGGGGTGAGGGACTGGAGTGATAACACAGTGGCTTTTGCTTTACACACGGCTGGGCAGATTCGACCCCCGACATCCCATAAGGTCTCAAACACCGCCAGGTATAATTCCTGAGTGCAGAGCTGGAGTAACCTCTGAGCATCTCTGTGTTTGACTCAAAAGGCCCTGGGGGGGGGGGGATGGGGCGGGGAAAGGAGTATGAAGGGAGAGGGGCAAAGTATAGGGGCTTTTGTGACCGCAAAGGATGAGGCAGACGGATAGCACAGTGGGTAGGGTGTTGGTGGTCCATGCAGAGATTCCGGGTTCCATCCCCCACACCCACAGGGTGTCCTGAGCACTGCCGGGTGTGGCTCAAGGCCCAAACCAAGCGCACTGAGAAGCTGGGAGTGAAGCCGACCAGTGTCAGGAGGGAGCACAAGAATGAGAGCGCAGAGATGACTCTTCTCCCCTGCATCCTTGTCTGCTGCGTCCCTGGGGAACGGAAATGGTGCCTCACACCTGACAGACACCGTCCCTTGCTGGTAGGAGATCCTGCACCCCTGATGATGATGATTATTATTTTCTTAATTTAGACACCATGAAATTACAGGGCAGAGTCTGGCAAACTCCCCGTGGCGTACCCAATATGCCAAATACCAGTAACAATGATGGGTCTCATTCTCCTAAAGAGCCTTGAATATAATCTCAGGGCTAGGATGAAAGAGACGTTACTGGGGCCTGCTCGAGGCAATCGACGAATAACAGGATGATGAATGAATGAATGAAAATGAAATTACGAAGTTATTCATGATTAGATTTCAGGCACACAGTTTCTTTTTTCTTTTTCTTTTTTTCTTCTTTGCTTTTTGGGTTGTACTCGGCGTTGCACAGGGGTTACTCCTGGCTCATGCACTCAGAAATTAGCCCTGGCGGTACTCGGGGGAAGATATGGGATGCTGGGAATCGAACCCAGGTTGGCCGCATGCAAGGCAAACACCCTACCCGCTGTGCTGTCGCTCCAGCCCCCACACACTGTTTCAGTTTCCAGTCCCTCCACCAATGCGCCCACCCCCGACTGCCTCCCACCTACCAGTCTGCTTCTACGACAGGTCCTTTTCTAATGAAATCAGTTTTTTCTTTTCTTTTGCATTTTTTATCAGTTTTTGTGTTGGGGTTTACAAGTCTTTTGCTAATAGGGATACATCACACCTTTGTCATACATAGCATTTCACAATATTTATTTTTATTTATTTTTATTGAGATCCCGTGATTTACAAAATTATTTATAATCAAGGTGCAGGTACACAATTTCCGAACACCAATCCCATCACCAGTATCAGGGGTCACTTCTGGCCAAGCTCAGGGGCCAGATAGGGTCCTGGGGAATCTGACCTGGTCAGGCTCACGTCTGGCAAGCACCCTCCCTTGCTTCTAATATCAAGTGACACTTTGACACCTTTGTCATATCTAACTTTCCCACTGTTCAGCCACACCTCCTCTCCTTGCTGAATGCTTCCCTTCACCATGTTTATTGTCCCTCTCTGCCCTATCCCACCCCCTCAAGTGGCATCTTTTTTTTTTTTTTTTTGCTTTTTGGGTCACACCCGGCAATGCTCAGGGGTTACTCCTGGCTCATGCACTCAGGAATTGCTCCTGGCGGTGCTCGGGGGACCATATGGGATGCTGGGAATCGAACCTGTGTCGGCCATGTTGGCTGCGTGCAAGGCAGATGCCCTACCCGCTGTGCTATCGCTTCAGCCCCACAAGTGGCATGTTTTCTACTGCAGGCCAGCTCTCATGTTCTTTCTTTCCATTCTCTCCAGGTATTTTTTAGTCCACCATTATGTTTCTTCTTCTTTTCTTTTTTTTTTTTCTGCTTTTTGGGTCACACCCATGACTGCTCAGGAGTTACTCCTGGTTTTGTGCACAGGAATTACTCCTGGCAGAGCTCAGGGGACCCTATGGGATGCCCTGGTTTGAACCCCGAATCGACCGCATGCAATGCAACAGCCCTACCCGCTGTGCTATCACACCAGCCCCCCCATTATGTTTATTTTATTTTATTATTATTTTTTTCTTTTTGGGTCACACCTGGTGATCCACAGGGGTTCCTCCTGGCTCTGCATTCAGGAATTACTCCTGGCGGTGCTCAGGGGACCATGTGGGATGCTGGGAATCGAACACAGTCGGCTGCGTGCAAGGCAGATGCCCTACCCGCTGTGCTATCGCTCCAGCCCCACTTGTCTCACTGGTATCACTTGTCATCCTGTTAATCACTGATTTGCTCAAGCAGGTGCCAGTAACGACTCCATTTGTCCCTGTCGCGTGCTAGCGTAGCCCAATGGCGTATTAGGGGCTCTTTCAGCGTCAGGGGAACGAGTCCCGTTATTGTTACTGTTTTTGGCATATCGAATACGCCATGGGTGGCTTGCCAGGCTTTGCCGTGTGGGCGGGATACTCTCGGTAGCTTGCCGGGCTCTCTGGGAGGGATGGAGGCTTTTAGGGCGGCCTCCAGGCCCATATTATGTTTATTTCTCGCATATGAAAAATCTTCTGTGTCATTCCCTCCCTCCAACCAACTTCACTCAGCATGAGGCTCTCCAGGTCCCTCCATGTAGAAGCAAATATACTGACCTTATCTTTTCTTTCTTTCTTTTTTTTTTTTTGTTTTTTTGGGTCACACCCGGCAATGCACATGGGTTACTCCTGGCTCTGCACTCAGGAATTACCCCTGGTGGTGCTCAGGGGACCATATGGGATGCTGGGAATCGAACACAGTCGGCCGCGTGCAAGGCAAACGCCCTACCTGCTGTGCTATTGCTCCAGCCCCCATTATCTTTTCTTATGACCAAGTAATATTCCATTGTGTATTTAGACTATAGTTTCTTTCTCCAGTCACCTATCTTGGACCCTTGAGTTGTTTCTAGATTTGGACTCTTGTGGGTAGTGCTACAAGGGGTGAGAATGTTTATTCCCCATTTTGTTTTTGGGTCCTTGGGTTTTTATTTTTGGTTTTTGGAGCTGGGGATTGACCCCGGGTCTTAAGCATACGAAGCCCATGTATGGTTCCTACCACTGAGTTACATCCCCACCCCAATTTTTAACTGAAAGCGAAATGAA